GGTCGAAGTGGGTGGCCACCCACTGGTGGGTTCTCCACCCACCTTCTCATAGTTTCGGGGATAGCTTCGAATCAGCATGTAGTTCAAAAACATGTTGTTCTGGTTTGTAGCTGTTTTCAGCTGCTCCTCAATCCCATAGACTTCGGTAGTCACAGCAACAAGCCAAGTAAGGCTTTTGTTCACATCTCTGTATCATGATAATGAGTGTTGCTCATACGACTCGTACAGTACAAGGCAGATCGGCCGGTTTCGCTTGCTGTACCATTCAGCGTTGTATTCTTCTTTATTCCTAGTTTATCCGCACTCTCCGACGGCGAAGTAGTTTCACGCAGGAACACTACGACCGTGCGTGCTGCGCGCGCAAGTTCATTGCTCATCGGTCGGTCCAAGCTTTTTGTCTCTTCGTCCCGTCATCCCTATGCCTCCTGCGCATAGCGTTTCCGGAAAGTATTCTGGCTCGAACTCCAAATCACATGGCTCTAGCAGCGCCAATAGCTCACCATCTTCTTACCATGTCTTTTCGTCAGGAGCTATATCCAGATCTTTCTGGCTTCTCACTGCTGGCTTGAAGGCCAGAAAATCTGTGACGGAACTCGCCAGGTGGGTACGGGTGTCGCTGCAAGCAGTGCTATGCTAAGCAAGGCCATACGAATCAATGTTTGGGAATGTGATTGTAAGAGATGTGGCAACCCCGAGAGCTGAAAACCGAACACTTGACTTGCAGAACATAATGCATCGCACGATGCTACATGGAATGGTAGTACCATTATGGTACAGCCACCGCTCGCCACGGTCATTCCCAGCGGGTTCAGCCGGGCTGGAAGGCAAAAAAGAGGCAAACAGGAGAGAGACGGGCAAATTGTCAAGATGGTTCCCATCACGGCGTCCCTACACCTGATGGATGGCGATCTATCAACTACCCCTTCATCATGGCTCATTCATTTGATACTATCTCGTAGGCTTCTCTCCTTAGTTCTAACTTCGGAACATGGCATAGGGAGTGAACAAGCCCAGTAAAGAGGGACCGCACGTTGATTTACTTGAATGAGGGCCGTTAGCTATATGGGTGAATGTACCAGCTCTGTCTACCACGAACAATCACGCTGTCTCCATTTCAATAGTTCCACCACAAATCTTGAGGGAGGGGTCCGGCGACTTTGGGTTGACGTCCCGGTTCTGGCCGGGACATGCGACGAGAAGGTGGAATTGCCAGTTCATGACCCGAGATCCGCGAATATAACTCGCATGACTGACTCACAAGACACTCATGACGGGCAGCGAGTCACTTGCTGCGAGTGCTGACACAGACTTCTCACAGGAATAGGCCAAAGCGGACATCGAAGAACCTGTCTTGGTTCGTATCAGAAGCTCGTCGTATGTTAATGAGGTGTCTACCCGAGGACGGGAACTGCCGGGCCAGCTTGTTGTAGGATTCAGGACAGATGTGAGCTAAGTGGTGATTCTAGTGTTTAGAATCTAAACACTAGGTCGTGTTAACACATCTAAACTTTAGATGTGTTAAGTTAACACTGTTAACACGACCAAGAGGGATCTTAATATAGGTGGTTGGATGAAGTAGTGAAGTTGGAGTGACAATATGGAACGCTAACAGCTGGCCGTGCAGATTAACTTTACATTAAACATAGCACGTAAGTACAATGACTGCGCGAGAATAAAGGCGCCGGCTTCACGCCACCTGTTTATGAGGTCTTGAAGGGCCTTCTTCCTTGGCTGCAGCCGACGACTGAGTGACTGCTTGGGCAGCCTCTCGCGAGAGGGAGTACTTCCCCATTCTTTACAAAACATACAACAATATCAATTGTTAACCGGCGGTGCACTAGTGTCCAGGCACTGCATGACAGCAAGGCACAGTCGATGGAAGGGCTTGCACTGCTCCAAATTCGTCACTATTCGATACAAATTAGACGAGACGTCGCCAAGGACCTTCTTCCTAGGCGTTGTAAGATACGGACAGGCTCGAAGGTCATGGCGAACATCCCCTACAGCGCCCCTACAGCCGCAATTGGGAGACACAACTTGTGGTGGACTCTCGCGCAAGGGCGCAGTCATTGCAACTTCATTAGCCTGAGGCTAATGAAGTTGCAATAGCCTAGGCTAATAGCCTCCGACATGTTAAGTCGAAGATTGAGATTGACAGAGCACGCACACGCTAGTAACCGCGGATAGTGCATGCGACTACAAGACAGTGGTGATTCCAAGCTCCTATCTCTTTTTACACCCGATAGTAAGCAGTTCGCTAGTTTTATCCATGGCGAGAAATTAAAAAGAGAGTTGTTAAGGAAAGAAAACGCGATGAAATCACCATCAAATGGGCGTCAGCAGGGCAGCAGACAAAAGTGATGGATGCAACAGCATGGAGTGCATAACATTACGGCAGACACGAACGGCAAAGGGACAAGTAAGACCCGCGAATAGCGAAAGCATTGCGGAATTGCTTGCTTTTCTGTCGACACCTTTACGAACGTGTTAGAACAGTGACTATGAGATACATTGCGCATAATCGAGGTCGCCGACTACAACACCACGTATGAGAAGACAGTGATTGTGTACTGTCCGCTCCTAGGCAACCGACTCTCTCAAAGATATCATTGGGCATTTAGGAGCCCCCAACTAAGAGAGTGATCAGGACAAACCGCTTATGAGTAATAACCATTCATGTGTTGAATAATTGCGTTCAAGGCATCAACTCATCATACCGGCACCTACGGGTCGAGGGAACTGGACATGCCCAAGCTGTTCCGTGTGTGAACATGGACTACATATCGTTAGCACTCTAAGGGACAGTCTGGGCGTTGAAGACGTTGAACAACCCTACCCAAGTGGATTTACAAAAACTCAAAAGACCAGCTCGAGCCGCAAGAAGTAAGAAACTTTTAACCCTGTAAAACGTGAGAATCCACTAAGGTATACAATTGGAAGAATTACTCTAGAACAGTTGAAGTTATATAATCAACGTCAGCAGGAAAACTTTATAGCAGCATATAAGGTAATAGCATCACACTATAACAGGCTTGTCTGACACACACATTCCCCATATAATCTACAAGACAGGTTTCACTCGGATCGGCACTTGCCAGCGAGTTCGTGGTATTGGTCCAGACAATCGGAATACCCCATCTCAAGAGAGAAACTGTCACCATAGTAGCACTTCACCCATTCCCAGTTATGAACAACATACAGGGAACCATGGATATCATAGAGGAAATCGAACTGCTCTTGTGTGAGAATACCATCAGAAACTGTACGGGCCTTCAACTCGTTGAGCAACTCCCATGCATATTCAATACCACCAGTGGAATCGGGATAAGCTGAGGCATCGTAAGCACACATAGAAAGCTTGTGACAGTATTTACCAACAGTGCAAGAACCCTCCAACATGATGGTGATCTTGGCCTTCAAGTTCTCCCATCCTGGTTGAGTACACACAGCACACTGTTCTGTCATCATATAATTCATACGATAAACGAGATCATCTGCATAGTCACCGTCAATAGCGTTACGATAGAGCATCATCGTAGCATGGTCGGCATACTGCATAATGTACTGAGTACCCAGAGTATTTTTTTGACCCTCGATGGCAAAATCGATGAACAAAGAACCAGAGGCATATCCCATCCTCTTGCTAACATCCTTCTTCATCTGCTGAGCCTTCAGTAAAGTCGTCTTGATATCCTCCGGCTGCATGTGCTCAATATCGTAGCTCAAACCGATGGGAGCAATTTCCCGCATGTCTTCTGCCGAAATATAATTTTCCAAGTACTCTTGGAAGGTATCAACGAAGTCTGCCATCCTTTTCCCATTGGACTTCTCTGTGTCACCGTAAGTCAACCAAATCCTCTCAGTATTGCCAGTTTGCTTCCTCCATCCCTTCATCCACGGAAGGAGCCTCTCCGGGTTATGAATACGGTCATAGTTGGTATAATCAGCGATATTCACATACACATCGCCAGTGTTCCACAACTTGCCCATATCAGAAGCACCAAAGTCAGTAAGACTGGGGTCACCTGACCTCCAGTAATCCTGGGACCATGAATAGGTACCGAACCGGACAGAACCATCATCATGATTGCTCGTGGTTGGAGCTGCACTTGTTGTTGCCAAAATCTCCGTGGTCGTCGACAGGTCCTCCGTCGTGTTCATTGTTGATGTAGCCGTTGTCGTCACCATGGACGACGTCGGTGCCGTCGGCTGAGTAGTCGTCCTCGGACTGGTTGTAGTCGGGGCTACGAACTCAGTAGTGGTTGTAGCTGCTGTTTTGCCACCACTGCAAGAGCACGGGACTCCCGAACCTTGGCAGACACTAGGTGTCTCATAGTATTTGCAATAGGAACCAGAAGAAAGACTTGCACAATACTTGTCACCATCACTGCAATCAGTGCCAGTGGAAACGCTCATCGTCGACGTAGTTGATCGTGCCTCCTTCGTCGTTGTTGACGGATCCGTTGCTATCGTCGTTGACACAGTAATCGGAGTTGTCGTTGTAGGTTGTGGAGTTGCTTTCGAACTAGCTGAGGTCGGAGGTAAGAACTTAGTTCTAGCTGCAACTGTAGTGCTACCACTACAAGAGCACTGAGTATTCGAGCCTTGACAGACACTAGGTGTTTCATAGTATTTGCAATACGAACCAGGAATAAGACTTGCACAGTACTCGTCGCCCTCACTGCAGTCAGTGGCAGCAGAGACGCCCAAAGCAATGTAGGATAGCGTGATGGCGTGAGCCAAGCGATGCAGCATTGAGAGATATAGTAACAATAGATACTACATACAAACTGGCTATAAGGGAACCGAATGATGCACAGAACCATGTAGATCAGCTCGCTAACTGATTCGCTAACTTCGTTCAAATTCATCGACTATGTCTAGCTTTTCTCTGCGATTTGCGAAGTGGAATTGTGCAATACAGACAGCCGTAGGAGACAAAAGCTCTCTGCACAAAGGTTGTGATAGGGACGCGATTTCCAGATGGACTCTATTTACTTCGACCCTCGATCGTCAGCTCGGGCGTGATGACAAGCTACGATCAAGTCCCTTAATGTCGATTTAGCAGGACAAGTTATAGCCAATTGCTCCAAAGAACGCGGCTACAACCATTCCGATAACCATGCGAGTTATAGCATTGCATTGTGCTCATCTGCTTCTGAGCATTCAGTCTGGGCCGCAGGATCGCTACTGACGCACGTCTGCACAAATGCGCACAATGGACTAGGGCAGTAATAACCCTATAGGTTATTCAGCAGACTGATAGCAGGGTTTCAGTTGACCCATTTCGAAATCATGTCAATACCCCTTAGGATGATCGAGTTATACAATCACGAACTCCAATGTGCAGCGGTTGTCCAGCGTAAAACCGTACCTTCTTTTGTCCACCATTCAATGGAAGACGGCTCGCCTGTGATGATCAACTTGGGTCTATTCGCCAAATTTTAATCGCGTCACTTTTCAGGGTAATCTGCTCTGAGTGAGAGCAACTCATTTGGGATGGGGCAACTATGCCATCTCAGAGTATGCCTGAAGGAGTTAACTTCTCCAAGATGGGGCAGCTATGCCATATCAAGATATATCTGATGGGGTAACGTTCTCCAGGACGGGGCAACTATGCCATCTCAGAGTATGCCTAAAGGAGTTAACTTCTCCAAGATGGGGCAGCTATGCCATATCAAGATATATCTGATGGGGTAACGTTCTCCAGGACGGGGCAACTATGCCATCTCAGAGTATGCCTGAAGGAGTTAACTTCTCCCAGATGGGGCAGCTATGCCATATCAAGATATATCTGATGGGATAACCTTGTCCGGGATAACGGCTTTGCCATGCCACGGTATGCCTAGTGGAGGGAAGTTCTCCAGGACGGGGCAACTATGCCATATCAGGATATATCTGATGGGGTAACGTTGTCCAGGATGGGGCAACTATGCCATCCCATAGTATGCCTAGTAGAGTAATAGACGGGGCAACTATGCCATTTCATAATATGCCTGATGGAGTATTAGATGGGGCAACTATGCCATCCCATAGTATGCCTAGTGGAGTACTAGATGGGGCAACCATGCCATCCCATAGTATGCCTGGTGGAGTAATAGATGGGGCAACTATGCCATCCCATAGTATGCCTAGTGGAGTAATAGATGGGGCAACTATGCCATCCCATAGTATGCCTGGTGGAGTAATGGATGGGGCAACTATGCCATCCCATAGTGTATCTGACGGCATAAAGTTCTCCAAGATGAGGCAACATGGTCTCAAAAGGCGCTTGATGATTTTCTCCGAAAACCTCCCATTCCTCTGGTGAGAGGATAAGAGGAACTCAAGTTAACAGAACTGAGGGAAACGAAATCTCCGAACCTCCTTGATACACCTGGGAATTGAACCAGATACACATCAGTAAAGTACAATCGAAACTGTATGAAGAACGTTGACAAACAACCATAATATCAACATACAAGTCATGTACAGAGTCACGCAAAAATGCTCGGGAAGCAATCATTTCCAGACAACTTGTATGATACAAGTCAGGTATACAAGATTCACTCTGCTCGGCACTTGCCACTGAGTTCGTGATATTGATCTAAACAATCGGAATATCCCATCTCGAGAGAAAAACTGTCACCATAGTAACATCTAACCCATTCCCAGTTATGAACAACATACAGGGAACCATGGATATCATAGAGGAAATCGAACTGCTCCTGCGTGAGAATACCATCAGAAACCGTACGGGCCTTCAACTCGTTGAGCAACTCCCATGCATATTCAATACCACCAGTGGAGTTGGGATAAGCTGCGGCATCGTAAGCACACATAGAAAGCTTGTGGCAGTATTTACCAACAGTGCAAGAACCTTCCAACATGATGGTGATCTTGGCCTTCAAGTTCTCCCATCCTGGTTGAGTACACACAGCACACTGTTCTGTCATCATATAATTCATACGATAAACGAGATCATCTGCATAGTCACCGTCAATAGCGTTACGATAGAGCATCATCGTAGCATGGTCGGCATACTGCATAATGTACTGAGTACCCAGAGTATTTTTCTGACCCTCGATGGCCGAATCAATAAGCAGAGAACCAGGGGCATAGCCCATTTTCTTGCTAACATCCTTCTTCATCTGCTGAGCCTTCAGCAAAGTCGTCTTAATATCCTCCGGCTGCATGTGCTCAATATCGTAGCTCAAACCGATGGGAGCAATTTCCCGCATGTCTTCTGCCGAAATATAATTTTCCAAGTACTCTTCGAAGGTATCCACGAAGTCTGCCATCCTTTTCCCATTGGACTTCTCTGTGTCACCGTAAGTCAACCAAATCCTCTCAGTATTGCCAGTTTGCTTCCTCCATCCCTTCATCCACGGAAGGAGCCTCTCCGGGTTATGAATACGGTCATAGTTGGTATAATCAGCGATATTCACATACACATCGCCAGTGTTCCACAACTTGCCCATATCAGAAGCACCAAAGTCAGTAAGACTGGGGTCACCTGACCTCCAGTAATCCTGGGACCATGAATAGGTGCCAAACCGGACAGAACCATCAAGATGGTTAGTGGTCGGCGTCATCCTCGTCGTCGAAGGAACCATCGTAGTCATCGTTGACAAAGCCTTCGTGGTCGTCATTGACGAAGCCCCTGTAGTCGTTGACAAAGCCGTCGTGGTAGTCGTTGACGAAGCCGTCGTGGTAGTCGTTGACGAAGCCATCGTGGTAGTCGTTGACAAAGCCGTCGTGGTAGTCGTTGACAAAGCCGTCGTAGTAGTCGTTGACGGAACCTTTGTGGTAGTCGTTGACGAAGCCGTCGTGGTAGTCGTTGACGAAGCCCCCGTAGTCGTTGACGGAACCTTTGTGGTAGTCGTTGACGAAGCCGTCGTGGTAGTCGTTGACGAAGCCCCCGTAGTCGTTGACGGAACCTTTGTGGTAGTCGTTGACGAAGCCGTCGTGGTAGTCGTCGTTAAACGAGTAGTTGCCTCCGCAGTAGTCGTAGTGGGTGCTAGGAACTTAGTGGTGGCTTTGTGCTTACTGCTACCACTACATGAACACGGGACATTCGAGCCTTGACAGACACTAGGTGTCTCATAGTACTTGCAGTAGGAACCAGGTAAAATAGCAGTACAGTACTTATCACCTTTACTGCAATCGGTAGCAGCAGACACGCACAGAACAATGCAACATAGCGAAATAGTGTGAGCCAAACGAAAGGACATCCACGACATCAAAATGACGGTCAAATTAAATACTACGGAGCGACTCCGATAGAGTTCAAACGGTCACACAAACTGCTACGTCATTCTCGTCCATCTACTAGACTAGACTCTCTGTTAGAGCTGTGTTGTGTAGACATGTGCTGAAGGGGACAAAAGCTCTTCCACACAAATTATTGTGATATCATGCCCGCAGGCCTTCTGCTAAGTTGCTGGTCGATTCTTCTCACGGATATCGGTTCGGATGCGAGGAGTCCGATACGATGACGAGTATGATATCGGATGCTAGTATTCGAATGTGTGATAGAGGCTCTTCACGAGTCGAGCTTTATTTTGGTTCTTGTTCTAGTCGAGCAACCATTCGATGATCCTTCACATTGAATGATCGATGGTATGGCAACAACGATAGCATCACAACTCCGTATATTAGGGCGGAAACTCTGCGATCGTGGACTCATCCTGTTTTTGTAGTATACTTCTCTATTTGATGTTAGTTTGCTATCGCTATTAACTTGCTCTACTACTTTCGTGCTGAGCTTCTCCTCTGGTGCCGTATCGGCACTGCCGATACTCTTGCTCATCACAGTGTGATGATATTCCAGATTCTACTATAGTAAGGGGGCCAGCAGTTAGATCGTATCAAAAAGCAAATCACATCTACAACAGATACGGTTGCGTTAAACAATCCTTTGGTGCTTTCTATCACACCATTTCGATGACGAAGATGCGGGTCTTGTCTACTCAATCAGGTCGTCCTTCACACGCAGATACCATAGCGGATATGATGTTTGGAAGGTGTGGTATGGCAATAACCACAACGCCACGTCAACCAAATAGGATTACTGAATCAAAAGTGTTGATAGCGGCATTAATGGTCTCCTCTAAGATACTCATTCAGTAGTCAACTCTACGAAGAGTTCTTGAGCTAGAATACGATGCAACACTGTGTGTATTTCTGTCGCCAGGCTTCTATCTGTTGCTTTCGAACATTCAATAACCGATTCTTGTAACGGCGATAAGGCTCAACAGAAAACATTCATAAAGGCACTACGAAGAAGACAGACTGTCTTCTTCGTAGTGCCTTTATGAATGTTTATGTCTTAGACAGTGACGAATCCACAGACGGTAAATTACGATGCCGTGGGATAGCACATCGTGCTAACTAGCCCACGCTTCCCGTTGAATCTATCGGATCGTCCAATAGATGAGTTCTGAAACTGGGAACTGGTTCCAGAACCGGACGAAAGCGACTAATGGCATCGAATCCAATCGATTGCTTGGGCGCGCGCTTTTTCCAAAGCCCTTGCGTAGCCCGCCAAACAACGTGAAGGTGCCGAATCGAAATAGTTAAGTTTGCTCACACAATCCCTTTTAAGTGTCAATCGCCTCAGTCGAGATGGGCTGAAGAGTATAAACCGATCGAGGCGCAAAACGTGTCCTCGTCCATCAGCACTTTATTAGGTCGTAGGCATATCTTGACAGAAAAAGAGGACCTAACTGCTCATCGAAGTTATGAGGAGGTCCTTCTCAAAGAGTAGCTCCTAAGCTAAAGGTCAATTGTGCTTAGTTGGCTGTTTGTTACATTAATGCTTTCCGGATGGTTATGGAAAATTTATCAAAGTGTACATTACGTATCCTCCACCGATTCTACTGTGGCTTCTATGGCTGGTTATGATAACAATAATGGTCAATTCACAGCGATACGGTATGAGCTAGCAAAGCATTGTGTGCTCATGCTCGCTCTTATTGTGTGTCAGTGAAGAAGCTTTCTGCTGTCACCATTGCGGTAAAGCCATCAGTAAACAAGATAACGTTTTCATGTACCGAGATCGAACTTTTTGCAGCCGAGCTTGTCGCAAGGGCATTCCAGGGTGACCAGAAACATATTTTCGCGTTATCAAACTATCGGTGTTGTTTCAGATATGAGGAATCGCTGAGAACTCAACCGATCGCGAGAAGTGATTCACGCACCAGTGACTTGTTTGATGAAAGAGGAGAAGAACTTGAGGTCGATCGTCTTGTGCATATTAGAAATGATAATCTGACGTTATTGAAAACAGCGAATGAAGGAATACTTTTCCGTTCCGAATTGGTGTGGAATAGGACTTGAACTCATTTTTAATGGAGATTAGGAGAGAACTTGTCGTTGATTTCCGTTGTGTGTTTTGTCCGCAGTTCAGCGCAACAGGCTATACTTGAGGAAGGTACATATCATTTCTATTCAAAATCACTTTGGCTGCTATTGCAGCGGCCTTTAGATCTTTCAATTCTCTTATTAACATTTTTAAACGTATTCAACTTCAGCGCTCTCGTGAAAAAATTCATTTTAAATCATGTAATTGGATATTCTAATGTTTCGGTTATATCACATCCCCTTGAGAGTTCGACTGGCGATGCTCACCAAAGTCCTTTCAGATGGTCAGTGACGACGAAACTTTGTCTTCATCGCCGGACTTGCTCGATCGTGAACTAGCGTGAGTTGATGTAAACCCCACCTTTTCCTCTTAAAAGCCTTTCAGTTTCGATTCGAGTGGCGACCTTCATAACGCTCTATCCTCCATAACTAGCTTTGGTCGATCTACGGAGATGGTATGCTTACTGCAGACTACCATATTTTGCTATGATTCCACTCAGGAATCTTCTGGGCCTCACCTCAATTCTCCGTCAACGACTTGTTTATTATTATTCTCACATTCGGCCGAGCTCCCCACAGTAACATCTCATTAGCATCTTTCGCGATCCACGTGTGGTTTTCAGATTGCACAGACTTTCTCAAAAGGCGAGATGAAGCATCGCCACGTGAGCAACATGACGTTATTCTCTTTTATTAGTTGTTTTCAGAATTCTGAAGCCGCGATCAGCCACTTGAGCTCTGCTGTATCCATCGTGAGGTTAGCAAACACATAAATGCAGGTATGTTCCTCTCACAAAACAGTATCATTACTCTTATTTTCGGCAGATACTCCGAGAGCATTTTTCTAGAAAAATCCGGTTTTTATGCAACACCAACAATCGTCATAATGTCTGTATTATGTTAACTTTATGCAGAACTATCCCCGTCTTTGGTTTCATCCTCCCCTCCCTGTTGTTAGCATGTACTCACGATATTGTCGTAGCCTTCGTGTGTGGGTCATCATCGCTTGACTCCATTGTAACACCATTGTCTTTGTAACACTAGCGAGAGTACCCGGTTGTTGCTGTCGCCATTATTATTTTGCTATGCACCATGTCGCGTTCGATGAGTTTTTCTCACCGAGGGAATACCTCATCTTTGACAGCAATCCCATCTTCACAGTGGAAGCCTGGGAATTTCTTACTCAATCCTCACATGTGCATAGCCTAGCTCAAAGTGTCCTGTGATTGATTTTCACTCCACTACTTCGGAATCATCGTAAAAAAGTATCTCACGATCTGTAATAGAACGAGCCTTTGATACCATAAGAAGACGAAGCGAAGCGCTGTATTACGATTGAACAGCACAACGATAGTAATTGCGAGTCAATGATGAGCCTGGTCATGCATTGTAATGAACACTCGACTAGCGGACCGCTGAGCATGCCAACCTAAGTGAACCTAGTCTATGAAAGAGTAGGGCTCTCGCTACATTGTACTTAGCAATAGGGTAGCTTCTCCGATGTCGAAACCATCTCGGAGAGTTACTATCGGGAGGGTCGGGTTGGCAACACGATCCAAACGATCGCTATTCCCACAAGGACCCCCTGAGGCTTTAAAGCTGGCGGGCAAGTCGCGCTAGCAGGACTTCGAGTGGTGTTGTAAATGGGTTGAAATTTTCTAACCAACGTCTGCGATGTATGTTATCCTGTTATCTCGAGTGTCCGTAGTGTACCTCCCCCGTACCTAGGAAATTCATTTGTACCCTGCCACAATTCAGAGCTTTTGAAATGCAACTCTCGAAGCCTTTCGTAGCTCGATGGCTGTGGTATTGCTGTTCTTCATATAGTACTTGGCATATGTCGTTATAAGTTGTACGTCTGTGACAGATCTATTTACCCTAGCTTCATTGCTACACGGCGTGTACACAAATACAATTCTGCCTCTCAATTCACCCTTCTGTTGCACAGTCTTCCGGCAATCTGTGATGCTTCCCTCTCCTTGTGTAACTCGACAACATGTCGGTGCATCAGAAGCATCTCACTTAGGCACATGTAATGGTTTCACTTTACGAGACAGTCTCGGACCCATGCCCGATATCGTCAATGATCGTATCTCCTCTCGTTGTCGTGAGACGATCCCTTCGAGCTCTTCAGCTAATGCTTCGCCCTTCGACACTTTCATTTTGAGTTCCTCTATCACTTCGTCCTTCCTCTTCAGCATTCTCCGCACTCTCTCTTCTAACGATCGTATAGCCTCATCGCCCTTAACCTACCATCCGCACAAACACTCCAAAAAAATCTATGAATTGCTCCTATCTCGATCTCACATGTTCTTGCTCGAGTTTCTCCTCTGCATTCGTCTTAACTGCCGAAAGTTCCCCTTCCAGATGAGCCTTTTCTCTCCTGGCCATCAGTCGTGACGGCTCTCGACAGGGCAAACGACCAACCTTAGCTGCTCTAGCTCCCTGCCAATTTCTTGCCGTGCCTTTTCAGCTTCTATCGTAGCTCTAGCGCTCTCCTTCTCATGGGCGAGTAGCTGACTTCAAATTCGTCACAGTTTATTCTCAGATGAGTTCACAATGTCCTTCCGTTCCTGTTCAGCACATGCCAATCTTTCTCTCGTCAGTTTCAACTCTTCTTTCGAATTGTCAACATCTTTCTTCAATTTGTCAATCTCAGTCGCCATGCTTTCTCGCTCTTTCTCGAGTGCCTTCATCTGATGAGCGGTATTAAATTGTCTTTGTTGACAGTGTTCCGTACGTTTTGCTGTAGATCGGCAATTTCGCCTGTGAGTCGCGTTTTGTTATCTTCCCACTCCTTTGAGGCAGAAGCCTTTGCGCGATACTCCGCCTCGACAACCTCTCGACTCAAACGGTCCACAACTGTCGCAACCTAAGTTATCATTAATGAATTGAAAGTGAATAACCCAACGAAATGGTGAGACGTTGGTATGCACTCAATTTTCATATTTCCACTTATTAGACGCTTTTCTTTGTTCGTCTGCCGGTTGAGTCCTTCATATGGACGATTTGCTGTCTGGTGATGGTGGCCAGACTTCTACTACAGTTCGTAGCTGTTCCCTATATAGCCAAGGTTATGATTGGACAATCGACATGGTCATTTCGAGATATACACGTTGGGAGGGAGGCCCCATGCCTTGCCCTTACGGCTAAATACAAATGCTATGAATGTCGGTCGTCTACCGAGTGGAATGCAATTCCCTGCCGTTATCATGTCGCTACCCTCTTGAAGAGGCCCTCGCAACCCGGGGTTGCGAGGGCCTCTTCAGTCTACGTAAGGAGTGGTCATCGTCAGTGGTTTTGAGGTCATTCAATTCTCCTTCTCTCGGAAGAGGTTCTATCAACAAGGTTCTTCCGAACGGCGACCTCATCACTCGAGGGCATTCAACCGTCCGTTCTGAATTCCTCGCGGCGGATCGTTTCGAAATTACGATTTCCTCAGACTTCGACGTACACCTCCTTGGCTTCACCATCACGGGCATGACCATGTGGATGAGTGTTTCCCTCTCCTCGCACAATCTAACAGCTGCGATATGAGACTCGGCCATTTCTCTTTCAATCGCCAATGATTGACAGGCAGCTTCTGACCTCCATCCGAGCCCACTGGTTTGCTTCGTGTTGGTGATACCAAACGGCTGCGAATCGTTCTCAAGGCCGGTTTGATATGTCCTTGCACCTGTCGTTGGATGTCGTGCTGTTACACTATCTGTTTGATCTTATTCTCCTCAGCGTCCACTTCATCCGGGCATTATTTCTTATGTGACGTGAATCGCTGATTGAAAATACATTATTCAACCCCAGTGTTGTTTACAATCAAATCGATTCTGATATTCAAATCTCCGTACTTTTTTTCTGATACATAAACATTGGTCGCTATGGGGTGAATTATCCAAGGAACTGTGAGCCTCCATTCTATCATGCATCGGCATGTCTTATGACGTCGCATCTCCGGTGGTATTAAAATTTCACAACAGTGTTCATTTGAATGACCGTAACTGAACTTAGTATTTGCTCTGCGTTACAGTGTCCGCGTAGTAATAAGAAATTACACTGGATGACTCGGTGAGCCTTTGGATGATGTGAAGCTCGTTGTCTCCCTCTGTACAAATGAGGCTAGATCGAACTATAGACCTAGCTGGATCACAAGTGATGGTACTTTTTCGCAAGTGACCATTAGTGACTTTAGAATTCTAGATATGATTAAGTACGCCAATGCCCTTGAGAGGGCTAGGCGCTCTTAACTATGTCTCTACATCTTAGAGAGGTGCCCTTAAAGCCACAAGGCTGATAGGAGAGGGTCGTCAGACTGAGCCACTTCGGGGTCGGATCGGCCACTAGATCGATGGTCAACTACGTGGTTGGATTGACGCGGCTCGTGCTCAAATTTTAGCATCGCATAGTACACCTTCGGCACGAAGGACGTGCATATGCGTGGCAACCCCACCCCGGGAAACGTTCAAGTTGCGTTATCATGGTTGTCGTTGAGTATGGGGATGAAATTTGATGATAATATACAAGTCGACGAGGCATTCGAATAAACGCGGTCGAATTCTACGACTTGACGACATGGCGTCTGATCTATCCCAACATAAGCGATTTTTGAAAGTTGAAAATTTTCGATTCCCCCTTGACGACTCAAAATATAAAATTTATCATCATAACAACAAGGCCCTTCTCAGCTGGTATCTCATCCCTCTACCCCTACCTTGCTATTCAAAAAGTAGGACATGTTTTCGGAGAACTCTATAACTCCAATGAGTATAGCTTCTACTCGAAACACAGCAATAAAGTTTTATTATTCCGGTATCATCTCAACGAAAAACACACCCAAAACGGAGCCGAATTTTACTAATTCTCACCTGGCGATTTCTCTCTTCTTCACATTCTTTTCTCATCTCCTTTTCCTTTTCTCTTAACTCGTCTTCCAGCTTCCTCCGTATCTGCGTTTTCGTCCAGATGCTCAATTCATCAACCCTGCCTCACATTTTCCATCCATGTCTCTCGTTCGAGTTCTTCTCCTCGTTTAATCGTCTTAACTTCAACCTCCTTAGCAGATTTCACTCGCGTCAATTCTTCCTCGAACTTTTGCTCGGCCTCTTTCAATCGCTTCATAGCCTCAACGTGCGCCTGCTTGCGAGCCGGTTTTTATCGCTCAATCAAGGAGATCCGCACCTGATGCAGTTCCTCTCTAAATTTGATATCCAATTTATTGCGCTCTTCCTCGGCCTGCTTTCTAACCTCTACCATATCTTGCTGAGCGCCTATCCGGATTGACCTCATCTGTTCATTCCATTTCTCAGCCTCTTCAGCGACCTAGCAGGAATTCTATACGCGGTTCGGCTTTCCTCGCGGACCTGCCGCCGGCAGCGGTCCCTCTCGACCAGCACTAGGGCGTCGCATTCCCTTCTTATCGCCTCGGTTTTCATCTCTAGTTCAAGTTTATGTTCGGCCGCTAGTTCAGCACGCTGAACTCCTAAAGCTTCCCTATGGCGTTCAAGTAATGCCTGTTGGATAGAAATAACTCCGATTTAATCGAGTCGAATTAACGAGACAGCAGAGGCAGGAGAGCTCTCGCCTGCTTATCCTTGCGTGATTCACTGAGTATCCTCTCAACTTCTGGTTCCATCCCACGTATAGTAGATTCCTTAATTTCTCTAGTTTTTGTCGCTTCCCATTCGGATCTTCGAATTTTCTCTTGAGCCATCCACATCTTTTTCTGTTTGCTTACCTATGGGAACCCTTACGGCTGCTGTTACAGAGCGCTCGCCTCGCGTATCAAATGCTCCTCGGCCTCTTCCTTCAGCATTTCCATTCTTCTCTCACTCGTTTTCAGTCCTTCAACGAGATGCTCACATTGTTTAGTCAATTCAGTTTTATCAACAAGCAGTTTGTCTATCATTTTCAACTGTCGTTCCCCTTTTGTCATCAAATCTCGTTTTATCTGGCTGAACATTTTTTCACTTAAGCTGTTTTTCCATCACACATTTTGAATCTTCGTGTTGCTCTGACGCTCTATTTCGCCAACTTTGGTCATCCACTCCCGTTCCTGGTCCTCGAACTTAACCCGCAATTCTCGTATAAGTGAAGTCTTAGCAGCTAACTCGCCCTCCAGAGTTGTCAATCTCGCCTATCACATTCATAGGCTCATCATTTCATCTTCGACTCACCCTAAGTTTTGCCTCTTTATCTCCTCGTTCCCTCTCAAGCGGTGAATACTCCTCATCATTCCAGGTCGAGGTAGCGTTGTCTCTATTTTCATTGTATTTTGTATAGCGTTTATACTGTCGCTTACCTGATGCTCTCCAGGACGGTCTCGGATTTCTCCTCGGCCAACTCTATAAGGGAGATAATTGAATCCAACGGACTGTCGGCGGTGTTGTCGCAGCGCGCCATGTCTTTATCGGGTGAACCGCATCGCTGATATAAGAGGAAATGGTGGAGCCAATGACTTCCTCGCCCACCTCCGGGTCTATCTTATTCGGGGGTTTATTTTCAGACCCTTCTACTGTGCCTCCACTGCATGCTGCGACCCCATCGGGATCACCATTATACTGGATTACCATGGAAAATACGAGGAAACGAAATATGAGGATGGAATTCAACTAACTACACCTCCCCCATTCAAGCTTGATGAATAGGCAGTCGAGAGTGACAGTTTCACAAGGGCAAGTTTGATTTCGAGCAGATGGAAGTTTAATGCTCCAGATGGCTAACCCTCGGAGGCTTCTTCCAATGACATACCATCAGCGCGATCAGTAATCAACAAGTGCAATGGTACAGCTGATGAGGACTGGCATCTCCAATTCATAAGGCCCGACAGAGGACCGAGTATAACATCAGGAGTAGTGGAGCTTCAGCATTCAAAACCAAATCTTCGAATTATATCGTCGAGGGCTTTAGATGAAGATTATGCCAAACTCTTCTTATCTACTTTCCCAGCCATGGCTCGATGAAGCAGCTTAGTTGTCTCTACGTTAGTGCCAAAAGTGACTACATGACTGGTAGTCAAGTTTATCTTCTCAATCAACCGATAATTTCATACTACTACCAGTGATCGGTAGTAGGCATGTGCGTTCTGTCGGAGTTTATACTACGGTTTTCTCACCTGGCTTCAGAAGTTTTCTCATTAGTTTATATCCACAACATATGACAAAACTGAACGAAGAGATTCCAAATGTTTTGACCATGTGCACATTCCTCAGACTTCTTTAATACACGGTTAATAGCTTTGTATCGACATGTGTTAATAAAGAATGAAGATATCATCAATGCCAAGTACTGGTAACCGGTGATAGGGAGCGCAACAGTAGTTGGGGGGTACCCTCTCCGGGGAGTGCAGTCCGATAAGTGTCTTCCTGACATGACTACCGCCGTAGACCAACTCCCTATTCTTATTTTCGCGGTAACATATTTCATCTAACACGTCTTCTAGTGAGGGCAGCTCAGTTCTCTACAGTAATTTTCAACTATCTGTAAAGGCTGTGCGCCTTATAGGTTCACAGCCCCAAATCTACTCCCATGTGCCAGTACAGACCAACTCGGAACTGGCAACGACTCGGTTGAGCATCATACTGGACCCAGCTGAGATTCGGATATCTCAGAATTCAAATGTCATGTAAAACGAACCGACGTGATAGACGCAGTCTCGCCTCTGGCATACAAGGAATTGTGATCAGAATTACTTATTCACCTGGGCAACGATTTAGTCTTGAGGCTGTCTTGAAGTCGAATACGGCGTCTCTAGCATCCAAGAAAACGTATTATTCTTGATTCGCCACTTTATGGTTTGAAAACTCCGCGTTGCCACGAGGAGTCGTTGAGGCGTCTTGAAGTGCTCCTCAATCGCCGCAGGAGGTCCTTATGGAAGACACCCCAGGATTGGCTCTCAGAGAGAGAGTGTATAAAAAGTATGTTGATCCAGTTAACGTATTGTGTTGTAGATAGATCGTATAAGCTGAAGCTTAGTGCTCTCATGGAGTGGTTCGCCACAGTTAGCGATTGTTGAGTCTTGTGCGCAAAACCAATCGGTTACATACAGCCGTCCTCTGCATCGCAGGAAATTGAAGGCTCTAATTCACAGTGTGAGCCTCGAATCATTATCGCCTCGATTACCCCTCTAGAACGTACCAGGCTGAACCTCCTCCTCCTCCTCCAGCTATAGAGTATCCTTTTCATTCCGCATTTTCTTTGACGCTAATGCTAACTTCGCTCGAGAACAAGATTCTTGGCCGGAATTTGTCGCTGATTGATTCGAGATGAATACGATGTACCACAATCTCGAGATATCGTTTTTCCTTGGAGCCTTGGAAATTTTGAGAGGAATTTGAGGGGTGTTTCATCCCGGATTGATTTTTCGACAATAAACCGCAGATTTCCTCCTTTGACGATTCAACGATACTCCAACGACTCATAGTTGATACGGGGAGTAGTATGACGTAACAGACGATAGCTGCACGCATACACAAGGAAGGTTACCTGAATAGGATATCTTAGGTTCACAAGAGGAAGATACAAAATAGGTCCCATCGAAAGGAAGTCATCGAGTAACGATAATCCCAATGCATTTTGGTGGTCAACTGAAAATGATCAACTGACAAGATCATCGAGAGTCCAACACAACGATTAAAGTTAAGTGAAAGTATCACTACTAAGCACTGAGAGATAGGGAACGACGATGATGAGGGTAAACTGAGGGTTGCTGCTATGCTGCTCATAACGACGACTACCATCTTGTCTTCAATGGTGATGATTTGAATGAAATAATTCCACAACAGTGAATGAGCAGTCATGATACCCTCGTGATGAACAACAGTTAATCACGAGGAATGGGTAGTAGTGAATAATGAGGACTGTAGTAGTGGTAGTAATAGAAGAGGTGCTAATAGTATATTAAGGGACACTCGTTGTTTATTTACATATACTCACTTTACCTCTCAACACGCCGAAACCTTGGCATGTGGTGGTGACACTATTAGTACAACTGTCACCAGAAATAAGTGACAGAATATAGCAATGCTGACATAATCGTCGTCGATGAGATCGGAACACAATAATACTTCTACTACCGACTCCTCACCAGAAGGAAGCTCCCAGGAAAACACAGGCAGCTACTCCAAGGCCTCCGGCAAACGTCGGGAAGACCGGCGGCGGCAGCATTCGTCGAGTAGTCGAGTACGAAATGTATTCACATTATACCGACAAGAATCTGATAAATTATAATAATTATAACAACGGCGAGGTTATATAACGTACGTAGCAGATTGATAAAGTTAACGACTTAGAGACGATGATGATAGCAGTCGTTATCTGTTAAGATGAATATTTCAATACATTTAATAAACTTACATCATTTTATTGGACAACCTTTTGAGGACGACTCCGAAGAGATAAATCCAATTGATGCTTCTGAGAGGATGAGGACTACATTGAAGGCAACATAGGATTTATTACTCTCGATGATGATGAGCGATGGTGATGATGTAATGATGTAGTTGATGATACTGTCGTCCGCATTGCACTCATTGGATCACCGATATCAACAACTGATGCCCTCCCTCTTGGAGTAGTCACCCCGACTCTCGGTGTAGATCTAAAGAATTGAAAATTAAATTAATTTCAACTTTTATAATATTACCCTCTAGGGCTCGGTTGAGGGTAATAGGCCGATGACGACACACCACCTCGTGGGGTCGTATAAGATGATAATCCTGAACCTCTCGGACTCTGTTGGTGATAATATGATAAAGCCGAAGTGGAGGAAGCAGCACGCTGAAGGCAGCGATGAGGGAGGGCACCATATCCCCCAACAGGGGATTCATAAGGAAGAGGCCGAGATGATGATAGACTCCGATTAGAGGTCGACCTAGACACTCCAACACTAGGATGATATGCTACCCCTGGTGTTGAAGGATGACGACCAATCGATGATGAGGATGTTGATGATGTCAAATGATGATGATGAAGTGTAGAGGAAGAAGCTCTCGAAGGTGGGGGTCGACGACGAGGAGAAGAAGAAGCCATCATACCGACACTGTGGGAGAGAGATCAATGAATATTAACAGAATGATGGGAATTACTTTGAAGTTGAGGACATTGGACTCATACGATGCATAGCAACAGCAGCCGTCGCAGCATTGCTATCGGGGCCATTCTGAATCGAACCTGATGATAACAGTCGGATGAGTTATTATTATATATAAACACCTTCAAATTGTTGCATTTCTTCATCTTCTTTTCCCCTTCGTTTTCTACGTTCCTCCACAATCCTCCTTTTCCCCATTAGTTCATCCCAAGGAGGTATAACACCTTTACGCTGATGCTCTCGGACATCCCCTGTGTAAAAGGAAGAATATCAATACTGTGAGTAGTAGATTATTCGAATATACCATCATCATCATCATCACCACTACTGCTGAAATCAAACTCATCATCATGTTCCCGTACACGATTAGAAGACCCCTCCGTCGTAGCAGGTGAAGACGATGCAGATAATCTGTATAATAATATTTTATATAATATAAGCAATAATATTACTCTCCTTCTTCCCTCACTGATGTGGTAATTAAGGCACTAACAGCACCAGTAACGTCATCACCTTTGAGGGGAGTCCGAGGCGTTCTAGTCGGAGAGGAAGAGGAAGTTGCTGTAGTAGAGACCGGATGATCTATATCTTGTTTACTACTAGTACAGCCCATGACGGATCAAGACGACAAGTATCACCAAATACTACAATGCTCTGAAAATATGATAAATACCGGTTTATTAGTGGTAACACAATTATACACCTGGTCTGATATGAAGGGATATATGACAAACGAATTGAATAAGGAGGTAAAATGAAAATGAATAATACTCAAGTACTACAGCTCATAATATACGACATTTCAAATAATATCGGATTGAATGCTTAACTATCCCAAATTGGGATTCCCAATATATTCCTACGTGCACGCACAAGGAAGACCGTTTCGTTGTGCGGTAGCTACGCTAGTAGTGTACGCATCCCTAGTACTCAATGTAAGGAGTATACGTACTAGGCCTTCTCGGAGAAGGGACGGAGCTCGCGTCATTCGCGCAAGAACGATTAACTCGATCGACTCCCGCGCCGAAAATTGGAAAACGAAAAGGTCGCAGGTTCGATCCCCACGGACGTCATTTCTACCGCAATTAATTTGTCGGCGGTTTTCGGAGCAGTTGCTGATGAGTTGATCGAGTACGCAGGGTTTCATATTTTTCGCAAGATCCCCAGACCGGGAGCTTTCGAATGGTGGTTCATACGTTCTCATATCTGTTGTGGATCGGGCATACGCATGCACGCATGCACGCACGCACCAACACACCAACGCACGCACGAAGTTATCGTGAAGTGAGAGAATACGCTCCGTTCGCTTCGCAATCAAGTATCCAAGCTCTCGGAGACATTGAAAACGAGTAAGCTCTATCTATTACTACCCTTCTGGTTGTGTTCTATCGACAAGTTGCTATATCATCGTCCAATGTTGGAGGATGATGGCATCCAACGTGCACAGGAGTTAGGTCCAATGATGATGCGGCCATTGTGGAATCACTTGTGGAGGTGTGTAGTTCCTTTCCGATTGAAACTATCTTAATAACAAGTGTTCAATCCAAGTATGCCGTGTTAACTGAGTACCTCATTTAGTCATGTTCTTCGTAGGCTCCGATTATCGGTGTCAAATCATCATCCGATCCTTATCGCCTTCTACCCATCTGCTAAACTTTCCCAGAGCGAGCTCCTCTCTTGTTGCTACTATCAGCACCGATCGTGCTAGTAGCCTGTATTAGTACGTCCTCAATGAGGACCCTCAATGTCGTCGAGCGGTAACCCGAAACTTTCGGGTTACGTAACAGCTAGTTCTATATACCGCAACAACAGGCACTTTCGAGTTATGCGTGCGTGTCTGCGTGCAGAATTATTATGGCTTAACTACGAAGCGTGGGAGGCTATCAGATAGGTCAAACGACTTCTCAATATGCGGAGGTGTTGGGAAAACTCGATTATGCGAACAGCTCGAAGAGATATGCACGATAAACTGATGATGGAGAAATGTCCCAGCCGGGGATCGAACCAGGGACCTATGTAAAATTCATTGATTGACTCCATTGACGTGGGCTCAGTGAGCTCCGCCCCTTCGTCACGAAGGCCTAGTTCCTAAACCGATATGTTGACGAAATTTGAGTCCCCTAAACCGCGCACCGTCGAAATTGGCGTTTCAATAGGAGTATCTTGGGGCACGAACTCGCTCGCCTGGTGAAATTGAAGTTTTTAATGTTGAGATAGAGGTTGAAAAGGTGTATTTTATCAACGAATTTACATGCATTAGCAAGAAGCATTCAATTCGATATTATTTGAAGTGTCGTATCAATATGACCTGTAGTATCTGAGTATTATCCATTTTCATTTTACCTCCTTATTCAATTCGTTTGTCATATATCCCTTCATATCAGACCACGTGTATAATTGTGTTACCACTAATAAACCGGTATTTATCACATTCTCAGAGCATTGTAGTATTTGGTGATACTCGTCGTCTTTATCCGTCATGGGCTGTACTAGTAGTAAACAAGACATAGATCATCCGGTCTCTACTACAGCAACCTCCTCCTCTTCCTCTCCGACTAGAACGCCTCGGACTCCCCTCAAAGGTGATGACGTTACTGGTGCTGTTAGTGCCTTAATTACCACATCAGCGAGGGAAGAAGGAGAGTAATATTATTGCTTATATTACACAAAATATTATTATACAGATTATCTGCATCGTCTACACCTGCTACGACGGAGGGGTCTTCTAATCGTGTACGGGAGCATGACGATGAGTTTGATTTCAGCAGTAGTGGTGATGACGATGATGATGGTATATTCGAATAATTAACTACTCACAGTATTGATATTCTTCCTTTTACACAGGGGATGTCCGAGAGCATCAGCGTAAAGGTGTTATACCCCCTTGGGATGAACTAATGGGGAAAAAGAGGATTGTGGAGGAACGTAGAAAACGAAGGGGAAAAGAAGATGAAGAAATGCAACAATTTGAAGGTGTTTATATATAATAATAACTCATCCGACTGTTATCATCAGGTTCGATTCAGGATGGCCCCGATAGCAATGCTGCGACTGCTGCTGTTGCTATGCATCGTATGAGTCCAATGTCCTCAACTTCAAAGTAATTCCCATCATTCTGTTAATATTTATTGATCACAGTGTCGGCATGATGGCTTCTTCTTCTCCTCGTCGTCGACCCCCACCCTCGAGAGCTTCTTCCTCTACACTTCATCATCATCATATGACATCATCAACATCATCATCGATTGGTCGTCATCCTTCAACACCAGGGGTAGCATATCATCCTAGTGTTGGAGTGTCTAGGTCGACCTCTCATCGGAGTCTATCATCATCTCGGCCTCTTCCTTATGAATCCCCTGTTGGGGGATATGGTGCCCTCCCTCATCGCTGTCTTCAGCATGCTGCTTCCTCTACTTCGGCTTTATCATATTATCACCAACAGAGTCCGAGAGGTTCAGGATTATCATCTTATACGACCCCAAGAGGTGGTGTGTCGTCGTCGGCCTATTACCCTCAACCGAGCCCCAGAGGGTAATATTATAAAAGTTGAAATTAATTTAATTTTTAATTGTTTAGATCTACGCCGAGAGTCGGGGTGACTACTCCAAGAGGAAGGGCATCAGTTGTTGATATCGGTGATCCAATGAGTGCAATGCGGACATCATCAACTACATCATTACATCATCACCATCGCTCATCATCATCGAGAGTAATAAATCCTATGTTGCCTTCAATGTAGTCCTCATCCTCTCAGAAGCATCAATTGGATTTATCTGTTCGGAGTCGTCCTCAAAAGGTTGTCCAATAAAATGATGTAAGTTTATTAAATGTATTGAAATATTCATCTTAACAGATAACGACTGCTATCATCATCGTCTCTAAGTCGTTAACTTTATCAATCTGCTACGTACGTTATATAACCTCGGCGTTGTTATTATTATTATAATTTATCAGATTCTTGTCGGTATAATGTGAATACATTTCGTACTCGACTACTCGACGAATGCCGCCGCTGCCGATCTTCCCGACGTTTGCCGGAGGCCTTGGAGTAGCTGTCTGTGTTCTATTGGGAGCTTCCTTCTGGTGAGGAGTCAGTAGTAGAAGTATTATTGTGTTCCGGTCTCATCGACGACGATTATGTCAGCATTGCTATATTCTGTCACTTATTTCTGGTGACAGTTGTACTAATAGTGTCACCACCACATGCCAAGGTTTCGGCGTGTTGAGAGGTAAAGTGAGTATATGTAAATAAACAACGAGTGTCCCTTAATATACTATTAGCACCTCTTCTATTACTACCACTACTACAGTCCTCATTATTTACTACTACCCCTTCCTCGTGATTAACTGTTGTTTATCACGGGAGTATCATAACTGCTCATTCACTGTTGTGGAATTATTTCATTCAAATCATCACCATTGGAGACAAGATGGTAGTCGTCGTTATGAGCAGCATAGCAGCAACTCTCATTTTACCCTCATCATCGTCGTTCCCTATCCCTCAGTGCTTAGTAGTGACACTTTCATCACTTAACTTTAATCGTTGTGTTGGACTCTCGATGATCTTGTCTGTTGATCATTTTCAGTTGACCACCAAAATGCATTGGGATTATCGTTACTCGATGATTTCCTCTCGATGGGACCTATTCTGTATCTTCCTCTTGTGAACCTAAGATATCCTATTCAGGTATCCTTGTGTATGCGTGCAGCTCTCGTCTGTTATGTTATACAACTCCCCGTATCAGCTATGAATAGTTGGAGTGCCTCCCCTCATTGAATTGTCGAAGGAGGAAATGTGCGGTTTATTGTCGAAATATCAATCCGGGATGAATCGCTCCTCAAATTCCTCTCAAAATTTCCAGGCCTCGACCGGCCAAGAATCTTGTTGTTGATTCTCAATTTGGCCGTGCGATATCTGCGGAGCGAGCTGAGCGTATACGAATCTCCGCATGCGTGCAGAATCAATTTGACTCGACTACCAGGCGTCCAAGTGCATCAGATTGATTAAACTATGCGTTGAGGTTTGTAAGAAAACATAAAAACTAGAGTACGCGCACAGCTTCGAGAAGTATGTGCGAAAATGATATTTGACCGAAAAATGTCGAATTCCGGGTCGGATCGGGAAATTATTACTTTAGGGTGGAGTTTGGTGCTGGACTCCAAATCTTCGGCTACCGAATTTCCATGATACGACACAAATACCCCATCCGCCGATGACGAGTTCAATCAAAATAGTTGACTTTACTCGACTTTGTCGATTTGCGATAGCGATTTCCATACTAGTCCGGGCCTCTTCGGAATTAAATTTATCGTAGATGAGTTGGTTTAGTGTATAATTGAGTATCACTAATCGAAAACTTTCTGAAGCTATCGTTTGAACTCGTTGCGTTCGTCGTGTATTATGCGCCATGGATTTCGCGTCTGGAACGCCCGTACAACCCTTTCCTGGCACGACTCGTCCACTGGGGTCTACGTCACTACGTTGCGTATGGTGTTCGCTTGGACTTACTTGAGTTCATGCTTTGTACCCCCTCTAAGCGCATTCCTGAGGAGGAGTTATCCTAGTATTTGTCTCACGTTACCTCCGGACTGTCTGTCGACCTCTATCCCCGTAGGAACATGGTAGATCTCGCTCGCCCTCATTTTGTAGCTGAGTTGTTCTTGGGCTGAACTCGATTATGTTACCTCTAAGTGGTGATCTAGACTTGAGTTCTCTAGTGACTATTAAAGACAAATGCATATTCCAACGATCTGATTAAATCTCCACTGGTCAGATTTGAATTTCGGGCGCGCGCTACCTTCACCCGCCCACTAACACATCTCGTAAGGACGCCTTATGTCGAGATGAAGAACCGAACATTTAACAATAAGTATTGTGGCGTATCTTGAAGGCTCCTAAGGGGACCAGCGTATCCAGATTGTGTTAAGGTGCACCGATGGCAGCGCACGCTTTGGAAGACAGCATTTTGCTCCATGTCCCTCCGCGTGGCTCCACGATGGGATTCTGCTGGCGCTACACGCGGGCGCTTATCTTGCCGCTACTGAGTAGATTACTTGGCTTTCGAATGCGACCAGCCGCCGCTTCATATGACGATAAGCGGCCTCCATTGTGGTGTCGTCTACCGGTTGGGTCCTTCATATGGACGATTTGCTGTCTGGTGATGGTGGCCAGACTTCTACTACAGTTCGTAGTGGTTCCCTATATAGCCAAGGTTATGATTGGACAATCGACATGGTCATTTCGAGATATACACGTTGGGAGGGAGACCCCATGCCTTGCCCTTACGCCTGAATACAAATGCTATGAATGTCGGTCGTCTATCGAGGTCTCTGGCATGCAATTCCCTGCCGTTATCATGATACCACCCGTTTCAGTATTCGTAGAGAGCGGGATCGATCAGTGGTTTTTGGGCGACCTGGTATTGCCAACTCTTACTCTGAATGGTGGAGGTTCTGTCGAGACATTCATTTCTAATGGCGATTTATTCTCGAATGGTCAACTTTCTGTTCGTCGCGACCGACTGGCGGACCCTTTGGAGGTGTCTATTGCGGCCGACTTGGATGTGCAACTATTTGGTTTCCCCGTCACGCGAGTGTACATGTTTAAAAAATTTTCAATGCCTTTACGCAACTTCACAGTTGCGACTTGAACTACTCGTGGTGATCCTATAGTGTTGATAGCCTCTGTGAGGCTGCAGATCAGAGTGACTGTTGCTCATCCAAGGAGCAATTCAACAGTACTATACCGTTTTTCAAGATGAATATTCTATGCTCTATACGCTCTAGTAATTTCCCCGGATGACTTCTGAGATGGGTTTTCAAGCCGATGTCCTCAACGAGTCGCTCACCGGTATCATCTCATCCTAGAGGCTTCACAACGACGAGGTCGCCAATGATGAGAATTTCCCCGAGTTGATAATCACCGGCTAGTTTATCCAACGGACCGTGAATCTCAACTCGATTAAATGCCTCATGGCATCGCAACTCTATAGCATTAGGATTTCAAGACAGTATTAATTCCATCTCCGTCGATAACAATCAGTTCTTATCACAATTCATCTCTCTAGTGAATTGTGTTGAAGTATCAAGCCGACTACCAAATAGGAAAATTCGGTCACGAATTTTTCGAGTTCGATTTTCGCCCCGATGGACGACTGCGTTTTGCGAATAATTCCAATTAGTAATAGGATTTGATGGTAAGAAAGGAAGCTCATGTCAGCCAAGCTGTTGTTGAGGAATGTCAAAAAAGTGAATTTGAAATTACTATTATTTTTTAGGAGTTGCGGCGTATTGCTGACGATAATAAAATAGCAAAAGAGAGGATGACAACATATGGAAGTTTTCTGATGGGGTGGATGAAAATTTTGGGAAATTTTCAGTGTTTTTGCGTACTCGTGCCTGAATTCACATGTGAACTTAAACAATTAGTGGGTTTTACATTATTTTTCAACATTGTGGGTGACACCCTCAGATCGGCCGACAGGAGCTCTAAGTCGCTTTGGCGGACGGCGGTTTAGGAGAGGAAATGGTATTTGTCGGGAAAGACAAAATGCAGATAGATTCATCGTCTACTAGGAGTAAATTATTGGTTCGCTGCACGATGTAGGCAATTGGGAGCATCCCGATGGATTGAAAAGTTGCTATTAGTTCAACTAGGAAGGCTGATTTGATCTACTCTGCGAAATTGTTATTATTGTTTTAGTATTTGGGGTGTTTTGTATTTGCTCTGATCGGTTTACATTTTAGAATAAAACCGGTATAAAATATAGTGGGAAGGATTTAGTTCTATGCTTCCCTTCGGCTCTATAGTGTACCTTGTTGAGTTCAGAGATACGTTGAGAGGGGAGTGGTATGAGATGACGTCGTCGCAGCTTTTTGACAAATGACAGTATCACCTCAGGCTTATGCTCGAGGACCTAGTGGTACGATTCTGACAAGTTGGGCGGCGCTTACTAACACTATCATCGATACAGGCTTGCTCACTATGGCTAGCGCGTTAAGCGTCTGCGGCTGGATTCTGGGTATGGCAGTATTCACTATATTTGGGCTGTTGGCATTATTCTCTCTCACACTCCTCAATGCGATATGTATGCGATTACCCGATTCTGATCTGAGTTTTTTCGCGGCTTGTGATGCTGCCGGATTGACTCACTTGAGATGGCTTATAGATGTCATCTTGATAACGAACAACTTGGGTTTCAGCGTGGTGTATTTGCAAGTCTCAGCTACTCTCATTGGTCTACTTCTTGATCACTGGGCTTCGGTCGAGTTCACAGGAATCTGGTATCGCTTCATAGTCTTATCGGCGGTATTGCTACTACTCATGCCGATCTGCCTTATGCGACACATAACGGGAACAACGATAGCAAATTTCGCGGGTATATTTGGATTTGTATATGTTGTTGGTGCTGGTACTTCGTATGTGCTACTACACGCTGAATCGCAGACAAATCACTCCATATGGCCAACAGGAAACGGCTTGGAGGTCCTCAGTGTTCTTCCGGTGTTCATATTCGCGTTTGGTGGTCATTTCAATGCGTTTCTGGTAGCTGAAGACTTACGCGAAAGGAGCATTTCTCGGTTGAATTTGGTCGCGGTGTTGACAATTGGTTCAACTGTGTTGTTATTTCTCCCGGCTATGTGCGTGCCTTATGCAATTCTAAGTGGTGAAGTGAGAGAAAACTTCTATGAAAATCTCTCTATTGAAAATGTGGCAGTCCATATTGGTCATGTTATTCTACCCATCGCCATTCTATCGTCTTATCCGTTATTACTTCTACCCGCTCGAGGGTCTATGTCCAACCTCATTGGTATCTTCTTGCCTACATGGAAAGATACAAATCAGGTCCGAATTTGTACCACAATTAGTTACATGTTGATAACGCTTATACTAGCATCAACAATAAGTTCACTTGGAAACACCATGGCACTTATAGGTCTATTGGGTGCAAATACGATGACTTTTGTTGCTCCTTCGTATCTCTATCTCAAAATATTCAATCGTTCTATCGAAATGTGTGAAAATGACGCATTTTCAGAAGATGTTGAGAAAACGACTAACTACACCTGGTATATTGCGGCGGTATTATTCGTGCTAAGCTGTGCCCTTTATCCCGCATGCCTTTCAGGGATCATATACTCGTTGGTCGTGTCGAGATGAAATATTGCATAGCCTTTTCATTGTCATTGTTACATCAGTGTTTTCCGTCGGTCTGTCTATGAGCTCATTGTGACTATGAGCTCGATGTTGGCTCGTCATCTCTTTTCAGAGTTTTCATGTTGTTGGTGTTGTTTGGTTGAATATAGTGTGGGAATGTACCCTAAACAGTGAAATCCGGCGAAAGAATCTAGTCGGAATTTTAGTACCACATTTTTTTAATTCGAACGATGAGCGTTATCAAAGAAACGATGAATTCGCTGAAAATGTTGATATCTCGATAACGCATGATAATGATGGTATTCACAGAATATTGAAAATTTGTTAACCATTATGAAACTTGAGTCAATGGTTAATGAAATCTAGAACGTCTATCTACAGTCGTACTCATAAAAACATCGACTAGATTCGAGCTAAGCTAAGATCCCATACTTTTGCACTCTGTACAACTACAATATTCCTGTATGTAGATTAGCGTAACATAACACAACCAGCTTCATATAAGGTAATCCTCGTGAAGAAATATTTGTTATTATTAATAGGGTGGTATACCCTCGAGAATAGTCATCAGAATCGGAGTTCATAGATCAAACTGGACATCTTCCAAGGGTGAACTTTCTCCATGCCCCACCGATCTCTATGTGTGGTAAGTCATCATTGCCGGACGCCAAAAAAGTGATATTCTGCATATCATGTTCTCCAAGAGTAACGTCATCCTTACAGCCGATCTTGGTCTGGTTGATGAAGCCGTTGTAAGCTTTCATAGTATCTTGATCTAGAGTATCAATTGTGAAGTTGTTGGGTGTAGGGGGTACTGGGTTGAAATGCAGGTCGCTTCCTAAACCATAATCTCCATATTGACAAAACGATGCGTAAGTGACCGATAGGAAGGCCTTCTCTCGCCAGATGATTGCATCGAAGCACCCTTTTTTGATCGTAGTCTTGTAACTCGTAAAGTTCTCTGCTAGGACTGTCATCATCATCATAGTCGTCCCCATAGTTATGAAAATAGTTGTGGGAATCATATAAGAGTTGAGAATATACTACTGAATGTGGGTACCATCTCCCAGTGTGAGAATACATGTACATCATGTACGATGCCAACACACGTAGTTGACCATGATGATCAACTACGTGTGTTTGTGACAATATGAGAATCCTGAAGGAATTTCAGGAGCTCCCATACTGATCCTTAGGGAAGTAAGTTGTCCCTATACTCCTTATGGATCGTCGCTTTGCATCACAATTGTAACACTCGCCACTCCCGGGAGTCGCGTTATCCCATCTACTCCGACTAGTGTAGTGCCGTTCGTGAGGTGATGCATTACCCTCCTCCATCTCCTTGCAGTACTATCCTCTGCATTCTAGAGGATGATCCTGTGGGACACTGTGCTCAGCACGCGAACTAATATGTACATCTAGCGCAAACAGACAGTGTCACTAAACTTTGTTTCTTTCATCACTAATAGTAACGCGGCCAGTAAGTCCATAAGTTACTGCGGGTGTTAGGTAGTTCCTTGATGTTTTGCACTGTAGAGGCAATGGAGTCTGTTATTGTGCATATGAGCGCTGTATTCTCATTTATTTCTAGTCCATCCCTATGTTATTCCCATAGTAGAGAGACAGCCTCCATCGGCGACGTAGTTTCACGCAGGAGCGCTATGCACATGCATGCGGCGCGCCGAAGATCATTGCTCATTGATCAACTTTTGTCTTCTTCGTCCCGACTTCCCTGTGCCTCCTGCGCGTCGTGTTCCCGGGAAGTTTTCTAACTCGAACTGTAGGTCACAGGGCTCTAACAGCGCCAACAGCTCACATACATACACTGTATGCGCTACAGTTGGGCTGCTGATCTCTGCGCAACATCATATAGTTGTTGAGCCCTCATGAAACAATATTTACAACCAGGGCTACACTGCGCAGTTCACATTGCATGATATTTGTTGATGCATTTGACTGGTGACCAGTCACTGGTCTGCGACCCTAAGTGTTCGGGCCCCAAAATTCCCATTTTCCTAGCCTCGCTGTATCGTGTCACGAGTATCGTGTACATCATTGTCTCGGAGACAATGTCTCCATATGCTCTCTATGCATGCTTTTTTACATCCATAGATGGCATGGTTATCTGATATTATCATCAGCTATTTCTGTCGCAAATCAATTTTCTTTCGCTCAACTCCTTATTTATGGATTTACTGTAACCACCCATATTGTGTTCAGTAATATGGAGGTTTGGGTGGTTGCCACTGGTTCATCAAACCCGTGGCGCTTCTAAACTTTATCTCCTATATACAACATCCTAGTTATAACACCAGGTCAGCCACGAAGGTCAATAAACTAGGGTGTTGTGAAACCACTCAAATGGAGATAATCTAGAAGCCCTCCCAATGAACCGCCCAAACCAGTTCATCAAGTTTCCGACATCAAGTTAATGTCCTCAGCATATGTTGCACTCGAGCGCCGACAACTATGACCTGTAAACTTCATCATATCCCCAATTTCTTGCTTGGAGATATCAAAACGCTTCGACAGTTCCATACCAAGTTGTTGAGCATTCGTCGGCAACTTCTAATAGATCTTATCAAATATTCTCAAGCATGCTGGTACACTCACAACAATCTTTGCCATACGGTGCACCACACAACATAATCCTCTATGCATACGCTGATCCTTAAAATGTACACATTCCCGCACTATAGTCTCAGAGGAACCCATTTTTGGTAACACCCAACTCAATCTCTATAGTCATATCTATCGATCCTTAAGATGCACCATCAATAACTTTGATATCCTTTGCTCGAATTTCCAATAACTCTCCAGATCGTAGAGCTAATAAAATGCCCATTAGGACAGCATCCTTGGTTTGTTCAAGTTCCACCGTTTTTAACATACCAACCGGTATTTTGAACATACTTTCCGCTACTTTTCCGGTATCGACGGAGCTTACCTCTTTTTCATCTGAGGTTTTATCTTACGCGCCGATTGCAGCGTCCGAGCTACCAGCTTAAAGCTGGTAGCTTTTCTTCCGATCTCGAAATATCACCGAAACCATGTAATTGGTTGAGTGTCTTCAATCCCGATGTGTATTTCGATATCGTTGTGTACTGCAATTTTATTGATTCCACTAAACCCCTCACAAACGTAACTTCAAACCAGACAATGGGAATTCCATTCCCGTGGATTTATATTATTTATAGGCAGATTCGTAACCTTTTTTTATTTCTGCTGATATATAAAGCTCTAGGAAATCAAGGAGATTCTTTCTCCCCTCTTCCGTTTCCGCCCTAGCTTGATGAGAAGCCCACTCAGTAGACTTGGAGAATATCTACTTCGATGCAAAATATTTCAACACTTATTCAACACAACAAACAAACGCAAGTTGCGTTTGTTGCGTTACGCAACAAATTACTTTCAAATTATATTCTGTTGATGACGGGAAATCCGTTTCCCAGTCGACACACACCGAGTATCAACTACTAACATCGGATTATATCCTAGTTAAAAGAACACTCACAGAAACAAACTTCCAACCTCACACAAGATACCCGTATTGACTTAATACTATCAAGTATCGGGCGTACATCGCAACCGGCTATCGTTTAGCTGCCGTATTATCTCTCGGGCCCTGCCCCTGATTGCTAATAGCTCTTTTATCCATATTAGTATCCCTTTGCTGAGTAGTAGGCGGTGAATGCTCACCAAACTTGCAATCTTTATATGGGCAGTCTTCTTTGGTAAACCTGCATGTGTTTTCCCACACCATTTTTGACATATTTCTCGCCCCAAGTGCATTCGATTTCCCCAACATCGGGGAAGCATCCGAACGCACCTCTGCAAGACGCTCAGGCTCTAGACTCTAGTCAGAAAGATAGAGAATGCCTGATGATCTTCCATCTTGACCTCATCATGAACAGGGGAAGACTGCAACAGTCTTATGCATAACATCATTCGCTGACGATAACGTCGATCAAACAACTGTGCTTTACCAAAACCGTGTTTATTTGATATCGAAGCAAACCTCGCAGCATACTCAGTGACTATTACTCACAGACATGTATCAAGTCACCATTGCCCTCAAGAACATATATAGTGAAAGCCCACCGCAACATCAATGGAAGCCATTGCACAAAGGTATTAGGAAGCTTCCCCGTAGGAAGTATCGCAGTCTCCACAGCTTGACCATCTAGAGTAAACTGTATAACAGACTTGCTGGCCGACGCGGTGATCTCAGGAGAAGCCGTAAGTTCAATAAATGAATATCTATCTCGAGACAAGACCACCGCAACATGCGGAAAAGGAACCTGGTTCCTGGAACCAGTTCATTATCGGGTAGACAACCAAATAACTTTGCCGCTGCCGCGAGTATCGTATCCACGGAGAACTTCGCCTTCACCATATCCTCTTTTTTGAGAAGCAGCAGCAATCAATGCCGCTCTGAGTCTTGCTCTTCTCAGTCTCACAGCGATAACATCAGTCTGAGGCTGTTCGGCATCATTATCCAATACGGCACCCATAGCGACAGCACAAGCATCTACCATTTCCCCCAACAATTCGGCATCATCAACCGCTGCCTTCAACGCTCTCGAAGAGTCGACCGAAAAGGATGGCTGCATTAATGTCTCAACTATGGTCCCAGACGGATCTGGATTCCAGGTTCTGGAGCAGTTGAAAATGTCGACGTCAACAACGGTGCATCCATATTTTCAGACAAAATATCTAGAAAAGGAACTAAATTAAAGAGATAAACAAAATGCGAGGGCAATTCAAGCATAACGCCACTCCAAGGCGGCTGGAACTCGAAATCACCATGAAGATGAATCAAAACAATATAAACGAGCAGTAATGCGAAAGAATAATAACACTCATGATAAACATGTATGTGATTAGAAAATCATCACGACTACTTAGTACGCGAAGCTAGTAGTTTGCACAAATCTAGCGTCGCACTACCCGATTCGGGTAACCCGAATTGAGTCAGGGGACACCGAATCGAGTCCGAATCGAAACTACCCGAGTCAGGGGACAACATTGACGTAATTGGAGGTAACAACTGTATCGAGGTTCTTTTTCGATCAGCAATGCCCGATCCTCATCAAGTACAGTAACTGCTGTGGCGTGTGGAATTTCTCAATTGGGATGCATTGATCATTTAGAGGTACCGAAGTTCGGTATATGAGCAGATGTTCAGGTATATGTTGACTATACAGTATAGTCTATACTCACTCTGATCGACTGTCTCATTTATGGGCCATTCCTCCCAGACAGTTCTCAACACTGAAGATACGTTCCCAAGCGGTGATACAGAAGAGAAGGTACAAGTCTCCATCCAGTTTGGAAATAAGCGACCTCTGCCATTTTCGAGGCCGTGGATGTTCGCAAACGACTTGAAGAGATGGGCCGTCTCAAGGAAGAGCTCGCGGCGCAGCTCAGTTTTTCAGTTGAGAAGACGCAATAGGTGGGATATCTCTACATGTTCCGTGGAGAACTTGTATCAGAGGTCGAATGGCAATTTGCTTGTGAGCTAAGTTTTGTGTAGGCCGCAGACTTTGAGGAAGCGGCGAAGGCGGCGGATAGGATCAAAGTCGGGAGTTTTATTATGTCCTGTTATTGAACAGAGGAAGTTCTCTCGAGTAAACTTGACAGTGATTTCATTGTTAGGCCGAGCAAGCTCTGGAGATCGAATTTCTCAAGGAACACATTATCAGACTTGAGTCGTCATATCCATCATCGACAGCGGCGCAAGGAATCAGACATGTTAGGCATAGTGGAATGATTATCAGTCACCGATTAATTTCAGATCTGTGATCCTAGGGGCAACCTCGGTGAAGTTGTGAAAACCAGAGCAGGTGTGCAGGAGTGAGCTGTTATGGTACATCGTCGGAGATTAGGTTGTACTACTTCAGTTATTCAGCAGAGCTTCAAAAGTTACACAGAGTGAAGGATGACGCCATTGGGAGGCCTGTGAAGGATAACAGTTACTGCTTGGAATAAACCAATTTCGCAAGATTAGTATCTTTGTGTTTTGTTTGTAGTCAGATGCATCATCCATTTGTATAGGCGTACGGGGGGTAAGCCTTTGAGTAGCACTGTTAACTACCCCAGTGGTCGTTGAAATTCAACGGTTGAATGTAACGTAGCTGGATTTTGGGTTTTGGGTTTAGCTGGGTTTTCTCTCTGGGGGCTCTGTTTTATTGCGGGTGATAATAAAGTGCTTGTCCTTCATCATGCCCCCGAAACCATTTAGCTGCTCACTTATCCTCTGTTCCAACTGTACGATTTGGACAGCATGTGCTTTAACTTTGTTACGGCGGCCCATAACTCCAGATTCGACTCTTTTGATCCCTCTAATAATGTGATACACATTCCTACATCCTTTGGCCTTCCGGATTCAGCTTCTCCAACTACGGCTTTCTGCTTCAGTGCGACTTCTTTTATTAGCTTCTTGACTTGCTGCTGAAGCTGTTGAATAGGGTCGGCGTTTGAATGGTGGCATGTGGGGCGCAAAATGATGCAAACTTGAGGCAGATGGCTACTGCGAGCCAGGCGGGTAGCCGGGAGAGTACCTCATATGGTTAATATGAAAATATGAGCAGGGGGACGCATACTCGAGTACTGCCATTCGATGTCAGATGTAATGCTGTTGAGTTACTGCCCTTAGTAGTTGCTCTAGCAAAACACAGATAATTGTGCGCTAATTTCATAGGGTCCTCCTGAATGTTTGATAAAAGCTATAGAGAATGATATGAAAGATGAAGTGAATACCCGTTGGAAACTTAAATTCCTCTCCCGATACATCAACATCTAGAGCCAACAATTGCAGCAGACTATGGACCAAGGGGTCGAAGATCCGAGTAATCTGAATAACGTGATGACAGCAGCAACAAATCTGGTGGTATCCTTTCCCACACCCTTCCGGGCGAGTGTAAGCCAGCATGTACTGTGTAAGCTTTACCGAATACCTGCATGGAGTGATGCAGTCGCGAAGAATGATACAGTCTTGAACACACATCCTGTAATATTGTCCAGGCCCCGTGCGGCCAGATGTGCCCGTCCGTTGATCAGCACTAGCCAGTGATATCCATTGCTCTGCCAATCGCCTAGTACTGCTTCCCGCATCCACACTCAGCTCTTCAACTTTACCACTGTCGATCACAAAGCGAATACCATCAATTGCGATACGAGTGGTATGCTGTTACAGGTATCGACATACGTGAGATCTCGGGCTCATCTCGTATAGCGTTGCACCAGGTCTCGCTGAGCTTCCTGTCAAGAATACAGCGGGCTCTAATTGAAATTATTTTGTAAATTGGGTTACTAAAAAACAAGAAGTTGCCGAAGGTTGGCTGGTGTCGTCGACGTGGCCGACCACTTTCTCCTCATGGGGACATATGATGAAAGTAATCATCGTGGGATCCGACCCTGGGTCGTTCGATTGAGAGCGTGGTCACTAACGTACTGAGCTAATAGTTCATCTCTCGTGCGAAGAATCGTTTCGTCAAAAATGAGCGGGCGAAGCAACAGGCACACTTTCGCTATATTTTTACGCTGATAAGCAGTCAACGGGTGACAGAATGATACCCTGTTTGTCTTCTGAATCGCCCTGGTCGGGTCGGGATTTTTGCTCACGCACGGACGGACGGACGGACGGACGGACGGACGGACGGACGGACGGACGGACGCACGCACGCACACGAGTGTTCGTGAGCAGTAACATAAGCTCCGCTCACTCCGCAATAAGCATTCAATCTCCTGTGCCCCACTCAGGAAGATCAATGCATCACCACTTTGGCTCTTGGGTGTAGTGGTCTGGATTTTCTTCAGTAAGGCCAGGTATGGGCCTTACTGCACTCTAACTCTGTATTTCAAGGGAGTTAGAATAAGGAGAGCTCATCACAGGAAATGCCGCGTGACGCGGCCCGCGTCCCATACAGCTCCGAATAGCTAGCAGGGCAAGCCGGAAACGCCCGGAGTCCTTCTCAGAATGCATCTACTAGTACCAACGTTGTACAGGTGCACACTACGGGAATCTAAATTAACCAACGCCACTCGGTGGTACAATTCAAACTGACATGAAGAATTTTTTTAACTCATTATCTCTAATATTAACTGAAATCTCCATCTTGAAGACTCGATGCGTCGTAAAAGACGCGCCGTTCGGCCACAACATATCGAGATCAATCCGGGGAGCTAGGTTTGCGCGCACCATAAGGGTGCACGCATGTATAATGAAAGAAAGCAGCTGCTCCATGCTGGAGCCGGAGCATATACATGTGTAATCGACCATCCTTCACTCTGGAAAATCTTCATTCCATGTATATGTCGGTTTGAAATAAGATATGTAAGTCGACAGGCTGTATTATCTTCGCTTGAAATTCTAACTCTTGTCACCAAGGTCACATCCAACCTCATTTAACCTAACGCGGTATGTACCTTAAAGAACGGATGCATCGATAAGTCTCGATGCTAGGAATCCCACCGTGCAGGTAGTCGAGGATCCCAAGCACACCGTAGTTACACCCGCATTGCTCATGGTGTAGGTCATGCATATCAGGGTTCATTACCTGGATATTCAACAATAGATAAGTCTCTAAGAGCTTATACCTTACAGGAACGAAGTTATATCCCGAGTGAGAGACCAGCGTGTTAACGAAGGAGAAAGTTAACCACAGAGCGAAGGTTAGTATCTACTTTCCAGTATGGAACGATTCCAAGGATTCGATGTACATGAGATTGCATTATTATTGGTCCGGCGAGTATAGGGGTAACATTGATGATAACTTGATCGAGTGGGTGATTATATAGAGCTTGTAGAGGGACAGGGGATGTGAACCTGATTAGTCTTGATCATAACAATGACTGAAGGCTGTTCATTACGTATGATGGAGCTTATGTACCACCCTATAGCCAGCCTTCCATTCATGGAACAGACGGTGCAGATAGTAGAGCCCCACTTCTTCGATGAGCATATAGGCTACCATATCGCGGACTATAGTCTGGTACTTGGGTAGTTCACCAAAGACGAACTCTGAAAGAGTATTTCCCTCAACATGGTAGGTAAAAAAACTGTTGAGGACTCACCGTCAGTAGTGAGATACAGGAGAACGAAATGCCTGAAATCCGAGCAAGCAGCTGCCTCACAGACTTCCAACGGATTTTTTGTACTCACGCATAAGCATTGCCGACGATCCACGCCACGAAGATGACCGGCATGCCAGCAAAGATTGGTAAAAACCCCTTCCTGAGTTGCATCTTCCATTCGGAACGACGTAAGACCTAGTAATGGTGCTGCAGCTGGAGTGAGGTGTAGGGGTCGTACCGTAGGCATTGACAAAAGCAGACCAATTCCAAAGTAGCCAATATGTCCCAAAGGACCAAGGAAGCCAATGAAAATGTCATTTTTAGTCAGCTTTCCGCTCTCTACGAAGGTTATAGTGTACCATGGGAAGATCGTTCTGAAGAGCTAATCGTAGAGCAAGAGTAATAGTGACGAGTATCATTTAACCTCTCGGCTAGGTGAACTAACGGCTGAAGGGCGAGAAGGAAAAGAATTATACTGCTCATAGTGTGAAGCACTTTCGATCGTATCTACCGAGCCAAATGACATCAGTTATCCATTTGGTGTGCATTTCCCGTTTTACCACAGCAGACGAGGTGGTAGTACAAGAAGCGCCAATCTGCTGAGCTTCTTTCGTAGGATAGGAGTGGTTCATCGAAGAGTTGAAGCCTTCAACTGAAGGAGGACTGATGACCGGTTGTAGAATCGTGACGGTGAAGCAGTATCACTGACATCTTTTCTCATTGCGCTCCATCAGGTACTCAGAAACATAGCCATAGCGGGATATATACTCGTAGAATTTCTACGGTGGAAACAATAAGGTGAGCATACATGGGACTCTTATCAAGTCGACAGATGAGGAGATTGTCAACTTGAGCGTGGATGGACGGAGTCATTCATACCGCAAGTGACCTAGCGTAATCGACAGTTTGGGCATACATCCAACTAATAAAAGCGGCGGATGATGTACATTTTGAACCAGTGCACGGTGCAAAAGGACCATGAAGGAACGCAAGAGAGTGGCACGTGTGGTCCAGAGGTCCTGGAGTGCACATGCAGCTCGATTCACGCATGCACGGAAGATACGCTCAATTTACCTAAGACAGCCCTAATCGTGTCGGGCAGAGTATTTGATAAGTGAGTTTTGGCTAAGATTAGGAATTTTTTTCCAAATCCAGGCCGGTTTTGTGAAGATGTGAAGTTGCGTTGCAAAGTTTCGGAACTTGTTAGAAAAGACCTACATTTCGTACGTTCTGCTCACGCGTGCGTGGGCAGACCTACCTGCCGTCTCCTTCAGAAGGAGACATGGAGGCATGTACTATCTCCTATACCGTACCTATTCCTATCCATGATATCCCCTATTCCTATTCATTGATGAGAATCATCATCAAACGACTCTATAGTACATAGCTTCATGGAGTATGAGAGGTGGTTGGCGATAATGCGTGTTAGCAGAGATGAAGACGAAAAGAGATCATCGTCTTTTGCATTCAACAATAGGCGCCATCGAAGTTCGAATACAATCGTTATAAAACGTGCAATACCTTTTGCATTTTTTGTCGTCAATGCAAGGCACTCGCTGGTGTACAGCAGCACTGAGAAGATCGAAACCTTTAACACAGTGAATTAAGCTTTCAAGAAGATATCGTGGGATTTCCACACTGCCCGTAATCTTGCCATTCTTTGCCCTGCTGCTTTTATGCGCTCCGTAATCTCTTTTTCGTTGTTGTGTGAATCTGAGAATATAGCTCCAACAATTTTTCTCTTTGACAGCTCATTTATCATTGTACCCATCTTTTGTCTGCCAATATGTGAGCGGGTTGAGCGTCCGGGTTGCTTGTTAGTGTCCAATAAGGGGAAGCCGTGCGGAGAGTTCCTCAGTTTTTCGCTGAGCACTCGATGTGTGCGAAATGGCGCTTAGTCACGTTGAGTGTTGAACGCGTTCACATGCGAGTCTCTATGGTCTAGTGCATCTTCTTAGTTCTCTGGCTCGAATCTCACGCACTACATTCTACTCCCCATATATATGAAAAGCATCTTCCACCTTGTGTTGGTCGTCACTGCCATCGTCTGCTTTGCCTATGCAGTAAACGATGATGTTGGAGGGAGGCAGGTTCCGCAGCCAAGGATTTTGGGTGGTGAGATGTGTAAGAAATGCCCCCATAATTGCCAATGCGCCCCAAGAACACCCAGTTGTTGGTGTCCAGATGGTAAGCCATGGCATTCTCTGTGAATGTTTCTTGTATAATACTGAATACAGTTCCATGCTCAGGTTTGACGAATGAATGAGGAGTTGAGAGGCGTCTTGCATGAGTGATGGACATTGAACGCGTCGGTCAGGCCGACCTACAGTCTTGTGGTATTCCCACAAAAGTCCTTTTTTGTTTCCACCTCACCCCTCATTATCTCTCTTTGACTTAGTCGTCATATCTTTCTATACTTATACAGTTGTCTGTGCGTTTAGTGGGAAGTGTCAAGGTCAGGAACTGCCTCCCAGAAAAAAGGAGCTGTTCTACTTTCTGACACGATGGCACGCGTCGTGTGGGTTGGAAGCACCGCTCTGATTGGCGTGGTTCAGTTCGACAAACAAATTGAAGACTTGATTAGATTCGTTGCACAATTCCAAGGCTCGGAATCCGAGCTGAACTTGCTTGCAAGTGTTCCAAAATCCATTGATGAAGATTTCTCGGTCGATACACGAACGGATGATCGATATACAGCATGTGAGTGTAGAGAGTGCGCTCCGCAGAGAAAACTCGTCCAAATGATCGAGAAAGTTCCCAGGAGATTCAGAACTTCTGACCAATCCCGTTGTGTACCTGCAGCAGTTGCAGTATTTCCGACTAGGCTCGGCTGGCCCACGAAAGGTCACCGCGAGAGAGAGTGTCGACCGGAAAGTTCCTTCGAACAACCCATTTCGGTCAGCGTAATCACTGTGACTACTCCTCGAATACCATGCAAGTGAGGCAAATCCTCTGCGCGGAGATTCTATTATCCTAACGCAACAATAAAGATCAACAGTTGAAATTCAAGGCAACGAGGTAACTTGGGGAAACTCGTCCCCTCTGATGGAAATTTTATATCTGCTCAGGCCGCGCTAAGCATCAAAAGCTGAATACGCTATGAGACTCATAGTAGGAGTTGTAGCCTATCACTGTCCCAATGAATTTTCAAGTTGGCTCACATGCACAAGCTTCGAGAATCTCGAGCTCAAAAAACAGTTTGATCGGAATGTGCTTCAGCACAATACGTGAGCACAGGTTTGAATGCCACGCTCTACATTTTCCTCACTCTTTATGGCGCATGGGTTCTGTCCGTTACTTATGTCATTCCCTCAGGCAACGATCTGGAACACGTTAAAAATAGGAGAATTCCCTGTTTCTAACATGTTCCAGATCATGATCTGGGACTCATCCAAGTTGTCGCCGCCGTATTATTCCAGTAACAATGCAGTGTTTCACAGTAGCTTCCGCTCCACTGTCTGGATTGTCTGAACCATCCACACGATTCTCTGTCGGCTCCGCCTCGAGTAGCCTTAGTGTAGTTCCGCCAGGCATCTCTGCTAGTGCTAAGAAACGTACTTGCCGAGAATCTGTAGGCTCGGCAGTTGTATCGGTTGATCCTCCGGGAGGATTATTCCCCCTGGTGCTCACGCGGAGCCTCCATGCAAGCTCAAGCTAGACTATACCAAGTACGAGTACACCGCTTAGAATAACTTCTTCTTTGGTAGTCTCTAGTCATGAGCTCATTGGATGCCTTAATACCATGATACAAGGTACTCCTACCGAGATATCCTGCATACCACGTAAATGCACATATCTATTACACTTATCTGTTGTTTGATTCGATGAAATGTCAGATGAACTCAACTTCCGAAGTTCGATCCTCGCTCCAACTAGACCCTGGTCACCACTGTGAAAAGCTAGCCGCTAGGAACTACAGCATTTCCAGGTCAAATTAATTTTTCACCGACAAACTTAATTTTTTACCCATTTGGTTAACGTCTTACCTCTTCAGTTAACGTTTTACCCATGGGTTTAATAAAATACCAAGAAAATTAATATTATACCCGGTATATTTGAAAGTTTAGGAGTTTAGTTTAATCAAGGCGCGCCCAATGTCCACACGTGCCACTCTCTTGCGTTCCTTCATGGCCCTTTTGCACCGTGCACTGGTTCAAAATGTACATCATCCGCCGCTTTTATTAGTTGGATGTATGCCCAAACTGTCGATTACGCTAGGTCACTTGCGGTATGAATGACTCCGTCCATCCACGTCCATTCGCGTGCGTTGGGTCTTCGTCCAATCGTGGTACGAGTCTCTTCACTCTGTTTCATTCCATTCGGCCAGGCATGATAGCATCTTAGTTGTTAGAGCTCCGAGACTCAACTGGATATGAATCGATCCCGTTCAGCTATTATTAGCTAACTTAACTGGTTGATCGCGCGCCCCTGTTTGTATTGTACAAACAGGGTCGCACAAGTCAGGCTGCGTATGAAGAGTATCGGGCTCCAACAGTCGCCTTGTCTTAAGCCACGGTCCAGGGGAACAATTCGTTCCTTTGAGCTTATCCGGATGCTTACTTTAGCTGACTCATACCAATTACGGATAATCCGTAAGTATTTCAAATGTACACCAGCCATCCTTAATGATTCATATACATGCGACCTGGATATTCGATCAAATATCTTGCGGAAGTCTATGATCGTTAGTGTGAGCGGTAGATCATATAGCTTGCACTTATGTATTAGGAGATGTATTGCATGTACTTTTTCCAGGCCAGACCGTCCGGCCCCAAAGGCCGTCTGTGATGCGTCGACCGAACTGTCCACTTGAACATATATTCTGGCCATAACGATCAAGCTGAATATCTCAGCGATGGCGCTTTGGGACAATACTGTATGGAAGCTGAGCTTCCGAAGCTCTTGCAATTTTTTCTGGATGTGCTTTTGTAAATGGGAGTAACCTTCGAGGTGTTCCAATCGTCTGGTAGGCGTTCTGTTCTAAAGCATATCGAACATACTTTACGCACCCATTTTGCTATGGCTTTCCTGCTTTGGAAGAGCGCAGCTTCTCCGCGGTTGAAACCGTGCCAGAGAGTTGTCTTTCGGCGAAGCCTGGTTTAGGACAGCGATTGCCACAATCGCTGCCGGCA